AGCTGCCTGTAGGATAGTGATAGGGAGTGTGTATGTGTATGGTGTGTGTGTGTGTGGGACATCCAGGGTGATCATAGAGTGAGCATGTGTGTGTGTGAACAAATTGCTGAGGGATACAGTTGATCGAGTGCGAATCTTTGTCTGGCGCTCTGTGCCATAGCCATCGAAGACAAGTTTGAATCTGAACTGTGTTCCAGCCTTCCAGGCTACATTATTTCTGCGCTTGCGTGGGCGCTATGCACGAGGTTTGATCATCATCTGTTTGCATGCACTCTGAGCGTCGTAAAAGATAAGTCTGATTGTGAAAGGTTCAAAAAACAAAATATACAGTCCTACAATGGTGAATGACATCTTGTTTGCAAAATGCATTACAGATGAGATTAGTAGTGATTGAGATGCGGGCTTCCCAATCAGTAGTTTTGGTGCGTCAAATTGGAGCTTTTCAGTCTTGAAAGCGATGCATTGAAGTAGCCCATGGTGCCTTCTGGGGCTCCACTCAGTTAAGTTATGGTGCATGTCATGGTGGATGTGAAAACCATCACAGCCAAGAGTTATGGGTATGGGTCAATGGTTGCATCAGAAGTGTGCCCAGATAGAGTAGCATGGAGGCGATCCCGTAGTAAGAATTGTCCTGTGCAGACCCTTAAGGGGATCAGCAAAAAAACGTTCTGTTCGGACACTGAGTGAGGTCTCGAACAATCAACACGATCTAGATTCCAATCTAATACTCGATTGGTTGGACCGGACTGAGTTGGTACGAGTAGATACGGATGGATGGAAATCAGTCACAGGCACAAGCTGGTGTGGGCGAGGGTTCAACCGGGTGCTGGGTGGGTCGGGTACATACCAGTACAGAAACTTGAAATGAACTTGGATCCGGCTGGGTCCAACTTAAAAAAATATTATGCCACCAGGCCGGGCTGGGTAAGGGTGAACAAAGCCCGTCTGAGTCGTGTGCGAGTGATCACAACAAAAAACTAAGGAGTTGCAACCTCTACCCCCTTTTCCCCTCCAACATTTAAGACACCTCATGCAACACTCCCCTCCCTCCCCTGATGTGTGTAAAGAATATTTCAACTGCCTTTGTTGTCGATATCCAGTATGACAGTCGCTTGTTAGGATCAAGTTATGGGTACCTCTCAACAGACCATCGCCCCCGCATGTCCTTCGGGAGCTTCATCAGTGAGGATTCTTTGGAATCTTCACTTTTCTTCTTTGAAGCATGGCCACCGATGGCGCCTGACGATGGCTGTCCTTCCAAACTACCACTCCCACTCGGGTCCATCAGCACTGCTCCACCCTGGCTTGACACCTTCAGTTTGCTTACACTTCCAGTCTTACGCACCTTTGGCTTCGCAATTTTCCCGTCTTTCAGGGAGCGCATTTGGCCTTTCATAACTGCTGTAATGCTACCTTTTTTAGCGTGTCCACTTCCCCCTTGACTACCCACCATGTGCCCCTGTCCATCAGTGGCGTTTGTGACATCCTCTGCATGATTTTTGGCTGGACTGGGTTGTTCAGGAACCATGCCTCCTGATTTTGCAGTCACTCCACCGTTTGCAGCCACACCATCATCAATCATCTTTGGACTTTTTCGAGGGAGCTTTGGCCTGGCGTTAGACCTGTGGATGCGCTTGAAAACCACTGCACCCATTTCCATGCTATCTCGATCGTCAGCCTCCGTCTCCGCTCCAGGGCCTTCATTGCTGGCTTCCGGTTGCTGCTCCTCATTCTCAAACTTGTTCCCATTCCCATCCCCTGATGGCTCAGCAGCTGTGCATTGCCCATCTTGCGCCTCCTCATCTGTCAGTTCTTCTTGCTTGACTGCCACATTAACATCTATCTCTCTCCCAAGAACTCGGCCCTTCTTTGGGAGTTCCCTTTGGCTGATCGGTACTGAGCCTGGCACTGGACATTTCCTGCTGGACGATACTACCCTTCTCCTCCTCTTCACCGGAGGACGTGTGTTGACAACCCCATCCTGTTCAACCGGATCTTCCTCATATTCCTCTTCTTCACCAGCAAGGCAAGGCTCTTTGTCTGTCCCGTTGACTGGTGCTTTACAGACATCCCGATCTTTGTGCTGTGAAGGCTCAGCCTGAGGGTTACCGATTATGAGGCGATTTCCCACTGGGATGAGCTGAGTCAGCGCCTCTGCTGCTGCATGGACTCCATCACCGTTATCTAGCTCCTCACGAACCATCTCCGGAAGTCCCTCTTTTGCTGAAAGCTCATCATCATCTCGAGCTTTCCGTTTTCTCTCCCCTTTGCTTCCCCCTTGCCTAGACCTCCCATTGGCCGCCAGGTTAGCAAGACTCCCTGTTTTTGGGGAGACCACAGCACAAGAGGGATCCTTTCCACCACTATCAACCTTCCTGGCCTTAACAGCACCCGACAACCCCTTGGCATTCTCTGCTCGACCGCTGAGCCGGATATCTGAACCTTGCTTTTTGGGGGAGAACCTTCTTGCTAGTTTCCCAGCAGATTCATGCCCCTTCCCTTCCTCAGCAAGGCTGTCCAGTTTTCGCTTGACTCCAGCCAGTTCTGCAGGGTTACCCCTCCCCATCTCTAGGTCTTCCTTGGCAACTCCATCTGCACTATCCCAGCACAGATCAGGCAGCCTGCTTTCGCTGTCAAGTGGAAGGACTTCTCTACTCGATTGAGACTGTGCAGAGCTCTGGTGCTGGTACTTGTACTCCTGCCCCTCTGAGCCGTACTCCTTTTCTGCAGTGCAACCATTGAGGCTGGCCGAGAAAGGCACCAAGGAAGTGCCATTGCCATGTCTTCGACCCATACACCTCACATTATTTGCCTCAGCACCACCCGTCTCGGACGTTTCATTTGGCAAACCACCACCAGAATCCCGCTCAATTGCATCCACATCATTACCATCCACATTGTGCGGGGGGGGGGAAATTTTCCACTCCCCTTGAACCCAGTTACTCCTGGACTCAATGACCTCAGCACCTGGTTCGTGAAACATACCATTGCATCCACGCGAGTTCGCATCCATGAAAGGCTGCACCTTCGACGGAGGAGGAACGGAGGAGCCAAAGGCACCTTTCAACCAGAAACAGGCACGCATGCCACACTGATCAAGCTCCACTGCAGTGATTTCACGGATAAGAACCTTACGTACTTGGCTCCCTTCCAATCTTCCCGAGCCGTCCAGATCTGGATGCTTGGAAAGCAACCAATTATGATGGCTCCCCAAGAAGGCAGGAAATGCATCATCCACACCATGTTCAAAAGCAGACCCCCACGACCGACAGCAGGCAGGAAGGAATTCTATAGGCAAGGCCTTGTTTCCTCCCTGCCAAGGGCTCTCATCTGAAAGTCGTGTTGAGCTGTCGACCGGCTGAATGATGGCACTCTTCACAGACTGTAACGTCGGATACACGACGGTCACATGGCGTGTCGTCTTGCCACTCACCTGCAAACGACAGGCATGGGTCATTAAAGGGTAATATCAAGGGGATAGCAATGACAGGTGCTATGTCCATATCAGTAGTACGGAGCGTGGACAAAGAAGATGTCATCAGAACAAGCATACAACTCCAGTCCATCCACCCCAAAGGGAAAATCCAACGCACCAGAACATCAAGCGAGGTCACTTTCACTTTCCCATCCACTCGTTCTGTCCAACCTTTGTCATGGTTTGCATGTTCACGTCAATCCCCTCGACCCAAGTCAAACCACTGCTAGACACATCAAGCCCGATCAGATTCTCGTTTCAAGAAGCCCACATTAGTCAGACGGAAGTAGAGTGGCAGAAGGGAGGAAAATAGTTGTTCACCCGAAGCCCCTCGACCGGAAGTCAAGCAACTGCTAGACACATTGAGCCAGATCAGATTGTTGTCTGGGGAACCCCATACCACACTGAAGTTCTTTTTATCTTTTTGGAAGTTTCTGCTGCTTGGGACCTTGCCCAGACCTGACCTGGCCAGGCCAACCAGGCCAGATAGAAGCAGCCAGAGCGGCCTGGCTGGTAACCTGGGCATCAAGACATTCAAAATCCTCAAAAGGAAGGGAAAGGGGACAGGAGGAGAAGGGCATTGCCTCAGGAGAACGGTGAAGGGACAGATTGGAGATGGATTTGGCCTCTATCACCTTTACCACTCTGGCTTGCTCCATCTCAGAGAAGGCCGCTTCCGGTAGCCCATCTGCATCTATCTCGAAGAGTGCACCCAACTTCACCTGGTGAAGGCTCAATCCTTGACCTTCCCTGTAAGATTTTCCCCTGGAGGCCTCTTCACTCTGATCGTTCCTATCATTACCCTCCTCTTTGTGAAGTTGGTATGCAACCACTGCCTCACCATTGCTGCCCTTCCTGGCCTTAGAGTCGGGACATGCTTGCGCACATTGCTCATTGTCAGCTCCGTTAGCAGCATAACCTGCACCATATGGCCATACAATCAAATAGTCATCGTTGTGTGCTATTTATTGACCTGACGCTTGAGCAGATTGCTCATTGTCAGCTCCATTAGCAGCATAACCTGCAGCACAAGGCCATATACAATCAAATAGTCCGTATTGTACGCCACTTGTTGACCTGACAGTCCGTTGACGGGTGAGCTATCTGTCAATTTGCCTGATTGACATACTGACTTCCCAGTGGCAGACACACGGCTCTACGTCTAGCGTATGCCACTTGTGTGTACCCTACAACATGCCTAAAGCAGTATCCACTAGCTCTAACCGTAGTAATGGTTCAATCCATGGTGCTAGTTTGGTCCAGAAAAAGGTGTCTGTTAAGAAGTTATGTGCTCCCATATACCAAAGGAAATGGACTGGAGGTTGTTCCTCTGCACCTGTTTGTCTGCTGGCTGCCTCAGGTTCACCACAGGATGCTGCACGATCCACTCCATTGCTCTGAAGCACTTTGCTGTTTGGGGATCCAATGTCCACCCACCTCAAGTTTGATTTTCCCCGTTCCTCACTTTCCTCAAGCCGGTCACCCTCCTCTAGCAAACCTGCCATCGTACGCCTGCCACTGTCCTGCATTTGAATAGGCGCCACCGTTGACCCACTTCCATCACCATCCTGTCCATCTTGATTCTGCTTTCGTTCCACCACACTGCCTTCTTCACTGCCAAGCTCATCACGCGACACCTCGGCACCATGCTGATGGTCATAATTTGCCGACGGCATCGTCACTCTGCCCATCATACCCGTTGACTGTGCGTCTGAAAGGATCTGAGATCCAGAATAGCCCCCATTTTGTCGAGGACAAACAATGAGGGCAGAAGATCTTGACAGGCTTTCCCCATGAGTATGCTCCTCCCTCTGGCCTGTATCACGCAGCCGTCCTAATGCATTCTTGAACGACAGAAGGTGCTTCGTTAGCTGCAGAAATGGCCCAACCATCAAAACATGACAGTGTATTAAATTGTGTTCGAGTACTGGGTCCTCGACCGAACCCCTTCCCCCCAGTTGAGACCAACAAGTTCAGCCATGATGGACATGAAACCTGTCATAAAATCACCAGGACGGCCACTGCCAGCAAGTAATCAAAGGGAACAGGATGTCAAAGGGAATAGTTCTACTGAATCCATGACATGTTTCAGCAGTTTAATTCCAGTGATGACCTAAAAAGCATTTGCAAAGGATGTCAAAGGGAATAATTCTACGGAATCCATGACATGTTTCCGCAGTTTAATTTCAGTGATGGCCTCAAAATCATTTGCAAAGGAGCCACACAGCCTTGGTATTATCAGCAATGAATGACACATACAGAAGGCAGACCAGATTAGATTAGAGAATGCCATGAACATCCTTCCATCAATCCCTCAACTCGCATATTAGCAAACCCGTTTCGCTTTGACGAGAAATGCCCGGCATCCACAGGCTGCTGCTATTGAAGTTACACAACAATGAAATATCGAGGAGGCCACCAAGCAAAAGTGATATTGCACGAGGTATCCTTTTTTTCCTTGTCACTTTTTTATGAAGGGCGGTGGCCTCATGATATCATCATTGAACTGACTGGCCTGGTATAATTCAGAATGATTTCATTATTCCATTGTATTCATATAGTTCCACTGGAAATTTGACTTCGGGTGTGTATTTCAACGGTTCACAGTACCAGCTGACCTAGGCCCGTCTATTCGCACTACCGTCTTCATCCGAATATAACGACCCTCATTATTGCCGTACCGGGACTGAAAGACGCCCCAAGTGCAGCTACCCAAGTGCAGCTATAATGACCGGCCGTTCTGTTTGGGTGAAGGCGGTAGGTATCTAACAGTTACATTCTCGCAGCATAAAATGCAGAGAGCATAACAAACGATTGAAAGCAATGCACTGCACATCGGAGAGTACATCACTCAACAACTTGCAGGGGTATCCGATTACAAGCGAGCAACAGCTTGAATCGGAACTATTATCAACAATGTCACAGGGCATCGAGCAGAGACTGCTGATGTTCGTAGGGGGAAGGGACCGGAGGGGAGGCACAACGACTGGCCAATCGAAGAAGCTCGGTCCTGATGCTACCGGCTGACCTCTGGCCGGTATTGCCCACTTGCTGCAGCAGGTATCGCACCTGCTCGTGGGTGCAGCTCCCGCATGCTCCCTCGTTGGAGGCTTGAGCACGAATGTGGCTGCATAACGACTGGTCGCAAGAGCGCCATCCACAGATGTGGCTGCATGCTGATGGCCGACCGTTCTGTTGACTACCAATAGGCCCAAGTAGTGGCCTGCATGCCAACTGGTCGCAAGAGCACCATCCACTGTTTTCTTGAATCTGAATTTGGGCTGCACTGCATTTGGTGAGTACAGCCCAAATCCGCTGGGAACTTCTAGGGAGGTGGGGCCGGGGGGGTATGGGGGTGTTGGGGGAGGTTATGGGGGTGGCTATGCGAAAGGGAGTAG